AATAGAAATTGCTTCAGTGCGGCCAGAGACATGTATATTTTTTCCCGGGGAAAAAACTACCAATGCGAACAGTGCAGGAAAGTAAAAGGCGCCAAAGGGCCACAGCGCGCACTAAAAAGAGCCGGCCCCCTTGAAACATCAGGGCAATCGACTATATTGACACCACTGGCTCACATGTTTGGCGGAGTCCGCGCCGGACTAGGGAGGCGCGGCGGCGGGGTCAGGTTAAACTCCGACGGCCACTACTTTCTTCCAGCTTGCTTGTTGTTGACTCCGACGCCCGAATTACCAAGTACTGCCCGTGCTTTAAGAGCCCCCAAAAAACTGTGGTGATCACTGGTGGAGAACGCTCACCGTGTTAACATTTTGCTGCGTGTTGCCAGTGGCAGCTTGGGACTGTTAAAGCAGTGTTACAATGTCTGTTTTGACGTGAGTGGCTCACATGTTTGGCAGAGAAATCGCACTGTGCAAATGCGTTGCAACTGGTTTGTTATTGCTTTGCTTACGCTTTTCCACTGTAAATGCTGTTCCAAAACATTTGTAATGTTTAGATAAGCCGGCGCGGCGAAGGCCGCGCCGGACTAGGGAGGCGCGGCGGCGGCCGCGCCGTCTTAGGGCGGTGGGATCAGGTAGGGTCAGACGGCCACTGCTTCCTTCCAGCCCGCTACTCTATTGCTCATTGATAGAAAACAGCACAGGCGAAAAGCTTTTGACCTACCACCACGCGACAGACAAAAGTATCCGCTCCTAAAGTACGTGCCACAATCGCAGTGGCCTGGCTAGCCTTGCCAAGCCAACCGCCAGGCTGCTAGGCGGCGCTGCACCTGGCCACCTCGAATCGCCCTCTTCCGGTCCGGCGGAAGGGGCCAGAAACCGGCGGAAGTAGTCAGAAAGGCGACCTGACCCGGATCGGGCGCCAGTCCGGGCCCCTGGTGGGCGTGAGGGCGCCTGTCCGGGCAAAGTCAACGGCGGGCGTCACGTTCTCTGCGAGCGATCGCTTTCTGCTGCTCGATTCGCAGCAGCACAATAGGGAGAAAGAAAGCAGCAGCAGCAGCCGCAGCCGCGGCCGTACATCAGCCAAAGCAGCAGAATCCAAACTGCTGCTCACCGACTGACGGAGGCCTGGAGGATCCTCTGCCTACTCTCCCCTCTGCTAGCTAGCTGGCTCTACTCTCTGACTGTGTCTCCTGATGATTATTATAATACCGCCGCCGCCGCCGTCGTCGCCGCAATGCCCAGCGAGATTAGTTTGCATAATAGGCGATTGATTCACCGCTAGCACGACGACCACCACCACTACCACTGATTGCCTGCCGCCTGCCTGCCGGTCCCCATTGTTGAGACAGTTTGGGCTGCAGCAGACGAAGCTTCAGCTTCTACTTCGGCATCTCTTCACCTCTTCTTCTTCTTCTTCGGTGCTCGCAGACAACAGTAGCAGAGACCATAGTCGTCACCGCCGTCTCTTCATCACCACCACCGTCTCTTCACCTGCCTTCTTGGTCTCTTCATCCTCTCTCATCGCCTTTGTTGTGTGCTCAAGTTCATCGCCACCGCCATCCCCATCATCGTCACTGTCATCGTCAAGTCTCCCAGCACTTCGACAGCACCACCACCTGACCGGCCATGTCGGCCGAAGAGAAGATAACAATAAGTGAAGACCTACTCACTAGGCTAAAAAAGTAAGTGCCGCTGTGACTGGTGCTGTGACCCTCTTACTGACCTGACGTACTAAATCTCTCCACCCTCCCTCAGTTACATGAATGATCCCGTCTACAAGGAAACGGTGGAAAACTCATCGTCATATAATGAACGTCTTGTCAAGGAGCGTAAGACACGTTTGCCATTTCTCGACGCTCAAACGGGAGTTGCTCAAAGTACGCTTGTTTTGGCCGGTTCTATTTTGTTCTACTGGCACTTCATTCTCTTCTTCTTCTCCTTTCTAGGCGACTGCTACATATGGTCAAACAAACTGGACCGCATGCCCGGCTACTATTCAGCACAGCTATATTCATATCCCGCACGAAGGTGGCGGAAAAAGCGGCGACAATACCTACTGAATCATCAGAACAACTACAACAGCGCCAAAGAGGCTGAACACAGTGCCCAGAGTGGCGAAAATGTGAACGCGCTTTCCAGTGAATCAAACAGCAACGTCAGCAGTGGTGCAGGCTCCTCGTCCACCTTTGGCCTTTCCAATTCGGGCGCCAGTGTTTCGACGAATGGCCAGAATGGAATCGGTGGCAGTGGTGCTGGTGGAGGAGGAGGATTAGGCGGCAGCAGCAATGGCCCCGGCGGCTCCGGCCTCAATGACACCTTTGAGGACTCAAAGGACTCCTGGCTGCGTGACTACGATGACGGCAGCGACATGCCGGACGCCGGTGAACTGGACGACCCCGAGTCGGACTTTGACGACTACGAGGAGTACTCCTCGAGGAAGAAGAAGTCCAGGCGCAAGGAGTCAGTGAAGAGAAAGCGCGAATACACCGACGCTGAGAAGCCGTTTCAATGCGACGTGTGCGGCGCCCGGTACAAGACGCGGCCTGGCCTCTCGTACCACTACTCGCACAGTCACCAGGACAGTGGCGGCAGTGCTGCTGGTGCCGGTGGTGGTGGTGGCAGTAGTGCTGGTGCTGCTGGTGGAGGTGGAGGAGGCAGTGGCAACGGCAACCACTCGGCGAACGGCATCAGAGGAGGCGATGAGGACGAGTCGGCGTACAACAGCAACGCGTCCTCTGCCTCTACGCCCACCCACAGCTCCAACAGCGCCAGCATTCACAAGGGCGCACACAACAGCATCAACCAGCACCCCAACCTGAGCAGTGCCCTCGGACTGTCTGGTAGTGGTGGTGGCCCTGGTCAGGGACCGGGCGGCAGCCACCCGTCGTCCATGAACAACAACAATGTCCCTAACTCTATGCATCCGCTCGCAAATCACACCCATCCAAGTCATCCCAGTACCATGAGTTTACCTCCACCGCCGCAACTGCCACTGCCGCCCAACAGTGGTGGTCACCCTAATGCAAACATCGGCAACAATGGTCCTGGTGGGAGTAGCAGCATCTCCCACAACTCCAGCAACTCTACCACCAACAGTAATAGTAGTGGTGGTGGTAGTAACAGCAACAACAACTTCAACAATAGCAACTCTTCACTNACTCTATGCATCCGCTCGCAAATCACACCCATCCAAGTCATCCCAGTACCATGAGTTTACCTCCACCGCCGCAACTGCCACTGCCGCCCAACAGTGGTGGTCACCCTAATGCAAACATCGGCAACAATGGTCCTGGTGGGAGTAGCAGCATCACCCACAACTCCAGCAACTCCACCACCAACAGTAATAGTAGTGGTGGTGGTAGTAACAGCAACAACAACTTCAACAATAGCAACTCTTCACAGCTGCCGCCGCCTTCTTCATCCTCCACAGCCCCCTCATCACAGACAAACAGCAATCACAACTTGCAAAACAGTAACAGTAACAGCAGTGCATCGACAAAGACGCCGCTTAACTCGTCTTCGGACGACAAAGAAAAATCTAAAGGTAATCGCCTTGTTTCTTAGCGCCTTTTTGCCCTTACTTTTTTACATACGCCGATTCAATCGTTTTAGTCGTCTTCTACCTATTCGTTTAGTGTGTGCTCTCTCTCTCTCATTGACAACAACTTTCCCCTTATCCACTTTCATTTCTTGATGACTTTATAAATAATTTTATAACTTTACGATCCTTTTCGACAAATTCTTTACCTTTCGTTTGGAATGCATTCTCCACCTCCTCCTCCTCTCTATCTTCTCCTTCTCCTGCTCTTCCACTTCCTCTTCCTCCTCTTTCTTTCCCTTCTTCTATTTTGTATGCTCTCTACGACCTTCTTTAAATAGTGTGATAAAATATAAGAAAGAGAGATGGCGATGATGATGACCAGAGAGAAAAAGTACCGACTGATTGGGTGTTGCTTTTGTTTATCATTCCTCTGATTTGCCAGCCAATACTTAAAGTTGTGTTAATGCTGTATAAATATTGACAAAAATATTATAATGAAACTTCTTCTGTTCTCTTGCATGATTGATTAACGCCATTCTCTTTGTTTTTCCACCTCTACTCTCCATATTCTCCACTCTTCTCACTTTTTCACACTGGTCACTGAACACACACACACACACTCACTTCTTCTACTGTTGTGTGTTGTGTTGCGCTCGGTTGAGCTCACAGTTGGGCTTTTTGATGAGACGGCAACTCTAGAAAGCATGGTTATCTAAAAAACATTATTTGCACTGACATACTCTCACTACTACTACCCCACTACTCGGTCACTCTTCATTTGGTAAATGCTACTTTTTGTTTGTATAAACTCTCTCTCTCTCTCCTTTTATACTCTTTTCTACCTCCTCACTCTCACTCCTGCCTCTCTTCCTTCTGTATAACAATAATAATAATAATAATTTCTAATCTAATCTCCAAACTACTTACCCTACTACCATACGAAAAGTAGCTACTACTTTTTTGTTTGTTGCCCTTTCACTGTCACTGTCACGCACTGCCACTAACCGCTGCCATTACCATGTTTTCTTTTTCTCTTTTCTCTCGTTTTGCTTCAACCCCCGAACGATCACCGAACGAACCAACGCGCAGATCCACGAAACAGAGGGGCCGCCTCGCCGCAGACGTACTGTGATTTTTGCCTGGGCGACTCTACGGAGAACAAGAAGACGAACACCGCCGAAGAGCTGGTCTCCTGTTCGGACTGCGGCCGCTCGGCGCATCCCACCTGTCTGCAGTTCACTGCCAACATGATCCTCTCGGTGAAGAAGTACCGGTGGCAGTGCATCGAGTGCAAGTCCTGCGGCCTCTGTGGCACCTCGGACAATGATGTAAGTGGTTGAAACTTGTTACAGTTTTTTCTCCCCTTCTAACCTTCTACTGTTTTTTCAGGATCAACTGCTCTTCTGCGACGATTGTGATCGAGGCTACCACATGTACTGCCTGAAGCCGCCACTGCATGAGCCCCCGGAAGGCTCCTGGAGCTGTCACCTGTGCATCATTGAGTACCACACGCCGAAGAACAGTAACAGTAGTGGTGGTGGTGGCGTCAGTGCCAGCAGTGCTGATGCGCCAAAATAGACCAGTCTTTGGGCTGTGCACTACGTGCGCACCCCTCCTCTTTTCTTCTGTACAGATAAACAGTTAAACACTACCTGCATTTCTATCTCCCTCTTTTCTTCCAGGCTCTAATGTAAAGTATTTTTCTACACATTTANCAGTGCCAGCAGTGCTGATGCGCCAAAATAGACCAGTCTTTGGGCTGTGCACTACGTGTGCACCCCTCCTCTTTTCTTCTGTACAGATAAACAGTTAAACACTACCTGCATTTCTATCTCCTTCTTTTCTTCCAGGCTCTAATGTAAAGTATTTTTCTACACATTTACCAATCCACACACAAACACACACACACGCCATCGCATGTTCATTCACCCCACACCGATCGCTTTCACCTTTTTTGCTACTACCACCACCACCTTCACCACAAGCAAGCCAACTCGTCCCTGTGCTCTCTTTCTCTCCCTCTCCTATCTCTTGTACAAAACTGACGCTCTTTCTCAGTCTCATTTCGCTTGAAAGATTCTCCGTTTATATTAAAGAAAATCTGATTAATATTTTGTTGTTGTAACTGTCACTGTTTGGCACAATCCAACAGTCTTTTTCTTAGTTGACTGCTGCCACTTGTCGGCGCGCCCTCTTCTCATTCTCATCTATCTATCTATCTAGTGGCCTAATCTGCCTGCATTTTTCTCATTTGGTCGGCATAGTATACAATGCAAGCAAAGCTCGAGTATTTAGTTGTCAGAGTTGTCGGAACGGAGCAGAGTTGTGCGGAGTGGAGGGGGAGAGGAAGACACAAACATTGAAAGTGCTCCGGCCGTGGTTATATAGCAGTGGTCCGCTACACACTTTTCGGGTAGTGCTCTGTGGCCGATGTCCGAAATGGTGAGCGAGTATCTCTCTGTTTCCACTTCTATTTGAGTCGTTTGTTTACGTGTGCCAGTGCCAAAATTGTGTCCACTCGATTTTGAAAAGCTTTGCTGGTCCACCATGGAACCACCCCACCGCCCGAAGACCTCATTGCAGGCCCTCCTGGCGAGCAGCAAGTGCCGGGCCATCAACGCCAACGCCAACAACAGCAGCAGCAGCTGTCAAGGTAAGTGTCAAAGCTGGCGTGCCTGGAGGATCATCTCATCGGAGNAGCTGTCAAGGTAAGTGTCAAAGCTGGCGTGCCTGGAGGATCATCTCATCGGGGAGAGAGGAGTGCACACAGACTGAGCTGATAATCAGAGTTGATGAGCAGACGATGAAGACGATGCACATCAGATGCGTATTGACGCGGCACGTGCACATGCACTATCACTTTTGCCATCACTTGTGTCTTCTGTGCGTCTTCTGGCCATAACTCTGTCCACAGCTGTGTGTAACCTTAACCCCTTTGGACGACTACGACACAGTTGTTCAGTGGCATCTAAAATAGTCGTGCGACCTTACGTAACTGAGTTTGAAATTGCGCTGCTTAATGTAACATTAATGCAGTTGGCGGCGCTCTAATGAGCGGCGGTGGCCAATGCATTGGAAACAGACGAAAGGGCACAGCAGTGAAAGTGCAGCTCGTCTAATTAATGCGAAACGTGCACTTTGCATTTAAGAGAAGGAGGAGAGGAGAGGAGCATCAAGACAGAGTCGCTCTCATGCACAGCGGACTGAACGATTCAATGTCTCCTTGGACTACAGACAGACACACACACTGCCCAAATGTCAAATGAAAAACAGTGCTGGAGATGACAGTGCACTGATGTCACCGATAACCGACGAGAGCAAAGTGCGCAACAATATACAAATGAATAGCGTTACATGAATTGCGTTGAGGAACGAACACTGCCGTTGCTGTTGCTGCTTGCAAATTGCCCACTGATGAGGCGACGGCCAGTCATTCACTCAATCTACTTGTCTGCCTGCTCGTTCGTTCACCTGTGCTGCAATCGATACCTGTAAAAAGTGAATGATCAGCAACAGCAGCAACAGCGAAACTATAGCACTTTCAATGTTCTAATTTGGCAATTGACGACAACGACGACTGAAGCGGTGTGTGTTGTCCCAAAGGCAGACATGTGTCGCGGTCAGTGTCGATGATGTTGTTGCTGTCTTCCCCACACTTCTTGAGCGATTGGCGATTGAGGCCAATCCGCCGATGAACTTGAACCGAGGAGGATGACGTTACTTTCTCTCTCTCTCCGTTCAGTGGGCCTCCCCTTCTCATGCAGACAGACAGAGAGTTATACTTTCCCCTTTCAAACGGCGCAATCAGCAGCTCAGGCAGCGGAGTATCATTTCATTCAGCTAAATTAATGAGCCACTCTGTGTTTTCTTTGCTTCTCTCTCTCTCCTTCTCTCTTCTGGCCACAATCACTAATCAGCAGTGAGAGTGTGTCTGCACGGGCATTGTAATTCGCCGTTAGTAGGGATAGTAGTGGTAGTAGTGGCAGTAATAGTGTAGTTAATTGGCAAATGGGCACCTGTGTGCATACACACATGAAACACACAGAGACACACAAACACACATTCAGTTGATGTCAGCTAGCTGCTTTTTCCTACCGCTTCGAGCAATCGAGCACTGCAAATTGCAACGCATCCACCAACACCACTACTACTACTGCACAATTAATCCCCCTACATTCGCGGAACTGACAGGCTGAAACAACAGAGTGCCACTGTCGTCCTACTGCACTACGCACAGACACACACTAGTCACTGTAGATCAGATCAGAGATTGATTTTGATTGCCATCTTTTGCTGTGTTTGAAGTTCAAGTGTGATTGAGTGATCCAGTTTTCACTGTTTCGGCTTTCGATTTTGTTGTTTCTGATCTTCACTGTGACTTTGTCCCTTTCGTAGAATGTAACAGTCGAAATCACTCCAACAGTGGTCCTCCGATTCAGCAGCAGCATCATCAACAACTACCTCCGAGCAGTGCCATGCAAAAGGAGTCCTGCAATACCGAGGGCGGAAAAGGGGGCGGCGGGGGCGGAAGTAGTTTTTACCAGCGCTCCGCAGAAGGAAACGCTCTTCAGTTCAACAAAAGCCACGATCTTCACATCAGGCCGTCTTCGCCAGCAACTGTCGCCTCGACAGCAGCTGACCACCACCTCTTCACATCCGCATCCAAAGATCTGGCAACTATTCCGCGGTTATTCAATGGAATACCCTCATCATTATCATCATCATCGCCGCCTCCACTGCCAGCAGCTAAACTCAGCGAGCTCTTCACCAGCAAGCTCACCCTGGAGGACAACTGGCAGATGTCGAAGAAGAACATTCGGGATCGCAGCGCCGTCATGTTCATGAGTGAGGTGATGAGTGATGTCCACTTTCTCGTCGGAGGAGGTTGCTGTGGCTCCTCTTCCCCCGATGGGTCGTCCTCCCCCGAGGGCGAAGAGTCATCACCATCCTCCTCCTCCTCACCTCGGATGCGCATTCCCGCGCACAAGTACGTCCTGGCCACTGCCAGTTCGGTCTTCTTTGCCATGTTCTACGGGCCGCTGGCAGAGCGGAAGGAGGAGATCGAAATCCCCGATGTCGAGCCGAGCGCCTTTATTATCATGCTCAGGTAGGTGATGATTGAAAAGTGTTCTCATTTGCAAATGTTTATGATTTTTCCACTCCTAGATACCTCTACACGGACCAGGTCACCGTGGAGGCGGACTCCGTCCTCGCCGTGCTCTACTGCTCCAAGAAGTACCTCCTGCCGCATCTGGCCAAAATCTGCGTCAAGTACCTCGAGTCGAATCTGACGGCGCAGAACGCCTGTCTGCTGCTCAGCCAAAGTCGCCTCTTCGACGAGACCGTCCTCGTGGAGCGATGCTTCGAGGTGATCGATGCACAGGCAGAGCTCGCCTTGGCCTCTGACGGCTTCACGCAGATCGATAGTGACACGGTGCGGCGAATACTCAGCCGAGAGACGCTGAACGCCAAAGAGGTCAGTCCTTTTAGTCTGTCTGGAAAACAGTTGATGCGAACAGTGTCTGTGTCCGGATTCCACTGTGAGAAGACTTCTGACCCACAATCACTTCCTTCCCTTTCAGGTAGTCATCTTCGAGGCGGCTCTCAACTGGGCCACTGCCGAGTGCCGGCGGCAGAAGCTAGAGCCGACGGCGGAAAATCAGCGCTCCATCCTGGGCGACATTTTGTTCTGCGTCCGCATACCGGCAATGACACTCGAGGAGTTCGCCAATGGCCCGGCGCAGGTGGCCATTCTCTCGGTGAAAGGTAGGGCGCTGCTGATTGCTTTCCTTCCATCATCAGCATCTAATTTTCCCACCCTTGAACTTGATGGCAGAAATCAATGACATCTTCCTGCACTACGTGGCCACCAACAAGCCGTCGCTGGACTTTCTGGCAAAGCCTCGGCTCGGACTGACGCTGCAGAAGTGTCATCGCTTTCTCTCCTCCGCCTATCGCAGCAACCAGTGGCGGTACCGCGGACGCTGCGATTCAATTCAGTTCAGTGTTGACAAGCGCATCTTTGTGGTCGGCTTCGGTCTGTACGGCTCCTCCAATGGAGCTGCCGAGTACAAGGTGAAGATCGAACTGAAGCGGACGGACTGCGTTCTGGCGACGAAGTGTACTCGGTTCTTCTCCGACGGCAGCAGCAACACCTTTCCCGTCTACTTCGACACTCCCATTCAAATTGAAGCCGACATCTTCTACATTGCCTCGGTAGTGCTGGACGGCAGTGAGCTGAGCTACTTCGGCCAGGATGGTCTCAACGAGGTGTCACTTGACTGTGATGTCAACTTTCAGTTTCAGTGTAGCGCCGAGAGCACCAACGGCACCGGCGTTCAGGGCGGACAGATTCCGGAGATACTTCTTTACGCGCCCAGCAAACAGTCGAGATTATTGTCCGGCAAATACTCACATTAAAAGTTTTCATTAAAAGTTGTCATTTTGACTTTTACGTTTAGAAAAAAACCTAAAAATCTCTTTGAATCGGATTTTGTTTTGTTTTGATTTGAAAAGTCAGCAGCAGTGGCCGCAGCGGCGCCACCAGTCGGCAGCAGCCGGTCGCCACCGGGTGGCAATAGCCCACGTGCTATTTTGTCTATTTCGACTCTCTTCCCTTCTCCAGCCTGCCTTTTCCTCTCTCGCTCTCTTTTGCTGCCTCGCCAGGCCTCTTCACTGTCCATTAACTCGTGTTTCACCCGATCCAAAATGGTCAACGTACCCAAAACTCGCCGCACCTACTGCAAGGGCAAGTGCAAGAAGCACACCCTCCACAAAGTGACCCAGTACAAGAAGGGCAAGGAGTCCAACGCCGCCCAGGGACGTCGTCGTTACGACCGAAAACAGCAAGGCTTCGGTGGTCAATCCAAGCCCATCTTGCGTAAGAAGGCCAAGACCACCAAGAAAATCGTCCTCCGTATGGAGTGCTCTGAGTGCAAAGCCCGTAAGCAGCTGCCCATCAAGCGATGCAAGCACTTCGAAATCGGTGGCGACAAGAAGAGGAAGGGCCAGATGATCCAGTTCTAAGGCGGTTAATTTTCGGCTGAATTCAACACACACGTTCACCTAATTTTCGCCCTGTTACTGGTTCTTACAAATAAACAACATCTTTTGTAACTATTCATGACCTGGCCTTTACTAATTTTCTATTTGTACTCTTTCAGAATGCTCATCGGTAAAGTTGTTATTGTTGGATCATCCTCAACAAATGTCGGCAATGTCAGTGGACGTGTGTTTGTCCCAGCAAAACACACGTTGGTTCACTACATTGGTTCTACAAAATGTGGACGATTGATTTCTGGATAGAGTTGAGAGAGGACTTTGTTTCATTGGTCTGAAAGAATGCAGCGTTTGCCAATTGTTTTGTTTTGAAAGTTTTGAATTGGCAGTTTTCACTTTTGATGAGTTCAGATATGATAACTTTGAGTTCTTCTG